CCTCTGCGAATCGGTTTTTAATGGACTCTGATTTATTTTTGACAAGAACGCTGCGCCCCGGAAAAATGTAAAATTGCATTCGAGTGCAATCTCCCAGATTGCTCCGTGCATGCACTAGTTTATTTCTAACTTTTATTCAGCCGCAGAGAAGCAATTCCCTAAATAACAGTGCCGGAATCGTAGGAAAAACCCCACCCGTAGCAGTATTGTGGCGTAAAACTAAAAGAATTGCCCTAAGTGCCAGAACCCTAGACACAACGTACTGACGCTTTGGAGGAAAATAACGAGAACAGATTACGGCTCTTCGGGCGTTTTTGGAGGACTGGGTGATAAAATTACCGAGAAATTAAAAAATCACTTTGGTGTTATGTCATAGGAATAAGCCACGGATAAAAACTACAAATAAACTAACTCAAGATTGACAGAATAATTCAGAATAAAACTAAATACCTCAGATGATCTTTACGAGGCACAATCTACTTAAACGTCACTTCCAAATAAAATACTTCAAAACTGTCTCGGAATACAATAATTTCACGACGTATGACCATAGATCAAAGAGCCTCAAAATACCTCAAATTGGTTTTAGAGTCATAGGAAGGATTTTAAAGATCACATAAAAGTTCTGCAAATCTGCTGTAAAATACATTAAAATTACATTAAAAAATAGCAAAATATATCAAAATAACGTTAGAAATATACCGGAAACTTATAAGACCAACTACAAATCCAGAAAACCACTGAATATGTCAAAACACCTCCAAAACCAAAGACCAAAGATTCTAAAAGGCAACAGAGGTCGATGACTCTCGGGGTTAAATGCCAGTGTCTTCAGACGTCAATGACCTTGGGGTTAGAAGTCAATGACCTCGAGATCAAAGATTAAGATGGGTTTCAAAGTAAACAGGATTTTTCAGAAATAGGTACTTCTAGTGGGGCCATCTATTGGTAATTACATGCGGTAGAAAGGTAGATCCTTCACTGATGTATGTATTGTTAAAATATCATGACATTTGGACAAATAGAAGTCTCTGAAATGACATTATGTCTGTGTTATTGGTACAAAAATGAGCATCTAACCAAGAGCTACTAATATTAACATCTGTTTTGAACTTGGTAAAACTTTTTTCGGAACATTTTCATTGATAAACCAAGTTTATGCTGATGATTGTTCATTCCTTGGAAGAGTTCATGAGTGGTATATGCGGTTTAAAAACGGTCGCGGGGACATAAATGATGAGCAACATGTTGGTCAACCGAAATCCGTGATCTCCGCAGATTCCTTAAAAAATGTGCGTGAATTCATCAAAGACTAGCCAAAATTTTCATTGAAATTCATAGAGCTAGATTGAGCATCTCAAAATCATCAATTTATCATATTTTGGTCGAACATTTGGGCTACCGAAAAGCATGTGCGCGGTTTGTTCCGCACACGTTGACTCACGATCAAAAATTGCTCAGAATTCAACATTTGAAGGACATCATCAAGGAGGCCAAAAGGGCAAAAACTTCCTCTACAACATTGTGACTGGTGATGTTGAGAACGTGGTGGAAACTCATATTGGAAACGTGGTGTTTCCAATATGATCCAGAAACCAAGCGGCAAAGTGCCAAGTGGAAAGCACCAGACGAGCTAAAACTCAAAAAATCTCGTTTGGTGAAGTCAAAAGTGAAGACAACGTTGATTTGCTTTGACGATTGGCACGAAGAGTTCATTCCACCGGTCCAAACCGTTAATGACGATGCAATATTGACGTTCTGAAGCATTTGGTGCATCGTGTTCGTCTAGAATATCGCGCAGAAGAAAAATGGCTTATTGCACGATAATGCGCCATTTCATCGATCGACACTTGTGTGTGATTTATTGATAGAAAACCGAATTTTAACTGTCAACCACTCCCCCTATTCGCATGAGTTGGCGAGTTTTGTTTCGGTAATTAAATGTCTTTTCGTTAGCGTCGTGTTCCTCAATTCATTATCATTATTTATTTTTTGCTCACTAATTTGCGAATAACTTGATAACAAAAAAAGATATCGAACCCTTTTTGGCATCAAAATGTAGCTATTTTTATGCTCTTCAAATTAACCTATAATAAGTTTTATCCTGGTATTTCACTTTTTTTAAGAAAACGTGAAACAACCTAAACTTGGATAAATAGCGCCAATAAATAAACAACACTTTCGTTAGAAACTTCAAACTTATACTATATTCGTCAATTTTTTGTGCTGAATTCATTTACGTAAAGGAAACTATAGCATTGCCTTTAAAATTGTTGAGAAAAATCCATAAAACGGCATTCTTTTGAAACAACGCCATCTATAGGTTTCCAAATGTAGGTAAATGACATTACGTATACACCACGAGATAAAGCATGAAAAGACCTTTCCAATGAGGTATAAAACTATGGGATTTTGATGAGCTAATCCTTAAAAAAAATGTTTTTTTTTTATCAGACATTAGGGGCTTCCCCCACCCTTTCCGTCGAGAGATAGAACAAAATGTCAATAACAAAAGTTATGCGCAATGAATCCGACTATCCATTACTACTACTATTTAATATACCTGAATAGGAAAAATTCAACTATATGTTTTGGTATGTAGATTGCGCCCCTAGCGGCAGAGCTATGAACTTGAAAACTGTTTCCAACGATTTCACTTATTGTTAGTTGATTTATTAATTAAAATTTTTTTCCTAAAGCTCTAGGGCCTATACTTTCTCTAATATCGTACCTCGCCGACCTTAGTGGAACACCCTGTATAACATATTTGAAGCCGATTGGGTTTGGTTACTGCAATTGCCATACTTTGGACCTGTGCCGACTGGACTATAACAGAAACAGAAAGTATTTGCTAACCATTTTAATTTAAGCCACGGATTCCCGAAAATTTTCAGTTTTCAGTTTTTTTTTTTGTCGATTTGATCATCGAATAACTACAGAGAAACTCTCCCTCGTCGTTTGGCTACGAAAAACACGTGACTTTCCGCCCACGCAGTGTAAAAGCGCCGTTGCTCAGCTGCACATTCCAGCCGATAAAATCGAGCCGGCCTCCCTGTCTGCCGCCTTCAAAGCCTCCATTATCGAGCGGCTCGCCGACGCTCTCATGCAGAGGGGCATCATCCATGCCCGTCGTGTCTGGTAAATGGTAAAATGCACCACTACAGACACAAGTGGCCGCTTTTCTCGCTGCACACCGGACAAATTCAAAAGGTTTATAAAATAAGAGTGTCTTCTATTTTGTTAGATATACGTATAACCTGAAATATTTTTCTGGATAGTGTCCTTCCCAAGAAATGCTATCACTGCAGGGCAAAGACAGTGGTACATAACTATACAGGGTGTTCTAAAAGTTGAGTCATTTATTTTAACAGCTGGTAGAACTCGTAAACAAGTCGATTTACCAAAAATCGTTTATACAGGGTGTAACGGATGCTGATGGCCAAACCTCAAGGGGTTATTATACAAGTAACTTTCAACAAAAAAGTATTATAAGATTTTTTTGTAGTCTTTTATTTAACATTTCTTGATTTCAAAAATTTTTTTACCCTTTTTCATAAAATCAAAAATATATGTTATTCTTACAGCCACATCAAAGACCACATCAGAAAGAGCGTTAAATTTACTACAAGGCGAGCATATGTGAGTGTTTAAAAAATCTACCAGGTGCTGTAAAACGTTAAATGTAATAATTGTGAAATGAGCAAAATTAGTGATATTGGTGGTAACGCCAAAAATTTGTTAATGAGGACGTGTTTTTTCTTCAGCAAAAACTACTGTATTTAGTAAGCTTTTCAACGATATACCAACTTTTGAGTTTGCTATTTTTTTTTGGCAACAATATTAAGGTCAAAGGTTTATTAACATAAAAATCGAAAATAAGCAAACTTTATAGTACTTTATTTTTATTTTAAGACTGTTTTTTAAATTAAAGTAACAAAATTGTTGAAAAAATTATTTATAACTTAGTAACATTTTTACAATGACTGCTACATTTACGCTTTACAACAACTGCTAATCAAAATAGTTGAATTTTGCATTAACAATGGGCGAAAAATAGTAGAAAATCATATGTATATTTGGACCAATTTTTAAAATAAGTAAATATTTATAAATATCGATGTGAACTTTGTGAACAAATAGTAAAACATGTCAATTCCACTCTAAAAATTTTGCAACGATCGATAGCGTTGTTTTCGATTGATAGGATTGTTAATTAAGAAAGTTTAAAAAAGTTTATTGCGTACCGTGGGTTTAAATTAAGGTTTACAAAGGGCACACAATTTTTTAGAGATACTTTTTGTCATAATAAACAATGATCAATACTAAAAATACCTATTTTTACACTTTTATAACCATTTAGAATTTTTTTTTAATTTTTCTCTATAAGCAATTATTTATAGCCCAGGGAATTTTCTATGTAATTTATAAATATTTACTTATTTTAAAAATTTATCCAAATATACATATGATTTTTCTAACTATTGACTATGACTATTTATGACTATTTTTCGCCCATTGTTAATGCAAAATTCAACTTTTTTGACTAGCAGTTGTTGTAACTTTATAGAAAATGGTCAAATAAACAAAGAATAAAGAATGATAATTTTTTATTTAGGGCTTACTTTCAATGTTACCGGGAAAAATATGTCGAAAAACGGATAATTTTTCGTTCTTTTTATATGTTTGTTGTTCCCCTGAATTTAGCAATGGTTTTTTAGAATAGGCAAACTTCAGATTCTTATTCTACATAATATTTGGGATTTTTCTGTACAACAAAGTAAATGACTTCAAACACAAACGCCAAAGCCTACTTTTACTGTTCTATCGCCTGGACTATTGTGTCAAATATGTATTGCTCTTTCTCCGCCTATTTGTAGCGCGTTATTACAAAATGCATTATACGAGGTACGTCCAGAAAGTAAGTTCCGTTTGGTAATAAAATTAAATTGTGTACAGATACAGAAAAATTATTTATTGCACAAAATTCTACAACTCTTAAACTACTTTTCCACATAACTGCCGAAATTTTGCAGGCATATGTCATAGCGTGGCACAAGTTTTTGTATACCTTCTTCATAGAAGTTTGCCGCCTGTGTCTTCAACCAGTTGGAAACATTTTCTTTCAGCTCTTCGTCATTGTTGAAGTGTTGACCGCCAAGGAAAGACTTGAGATGTAAGAACAGATGAAAGTCGCTAGGAGCGAGGTCAGGGCTGTATGGAGGATGGTCAAACACGTCCCAGCCAAATCCCTGTAGGAGGTTTTTCGTCACATTTGCAGTGTGTGGTCGTGCGTTGTCGTGAAGAAAAACAACACCTTTTGACAGCAATCCTCGGCGCTTATTCTGTATTGCGCGGCGCAATTTCCTAAGTGTCTCGCAGTAAGCATCTGCTTTGATTGTTTGACCACGCGGTAAGAAATCAATGAGTAAGATGCCTTTCCAGTCCCAGAACACTGTGCACATCATTTTCCGAGGTGTCAAGATTTGTTTCGGCTTAACCTTTGCTGGGGATGAAGTGTGCCTCCATTCCATTGATTGCCGCTTACTTTCAGGGGTGTCGTAAGAAACCCAAGTTTCATCTCCTGTGACTATCTGTGTCAGAAATTCTTCGCCGCCTTCATCATAACGGGTCAAAAACTGAAGTGCACTACCCATCCGTTTTGTTTTGTGTTGCTCAGTAAGAATCTTTGGTACCCAACGTCGGCAAAGTTTACGAAATTTCAGTTTTTCGGTAACAATTTCATGAATTAGTGATCGTGAGATTTGGGGAAATTCCATAGCGAGAGCACTAATTGTAAACCTGCGGTTTTCCCGGATCTTGTCATCAATCGCGTGAACCAGTTCTTCTGTAACCAAAGATGGACGCCCACTTCGTTCTTCATCGTGCACTTCACTACGTCCTTCATTGAACTGTCGGACCCATCTTCTCACCATTGAATCACTCATCGCATTTTGTCCATAAACTTCGCAAATTTGCCGGTAAATTTCAATTGGTTTCACTTTCCTAGCATTCAGAAAACGAATCACAGATCTGATTTCACAAGCGGCGGGATTTTCAATCAACACCGACATTGTAAACATGCACAACAAAGCGTACGTGGCTGACAGCGATCTCCAAATGGCGCACGTGTCTTCTCCTTGATACAGAGCGTCTACCGCGCATATGCGGATCTGCGATCGCAGCGCTGCAGCGGAACTTACAACTAGTTGAAGACACAGGCGGCAAACTTCTATGAAGAAGGTATACAAAAACTTGTGCCACGCTATGACAAATGCCTGCAAAATTTCGGCAGTTATGTGGAAGAGTAGTTTAGGAGTTGTAGAATTTTGTGCAATAAATAATTTTTCTGTATCTGTACACAATTTAATTTTATTACCAAACGGAACTTACTTTCTGGACGTACCTCGTAGTATTAATGAAAAATTGACATAATTAGTGTATATATTGGAAATAATAAAAATGAAGCGGGTGCCCAACGACAATACAGACGGGAATTTGGCAATATTAGAGAAATTCTATGCGAAAAACTTTTGCAAGAATTTTTAGAGAATTTGAACCGAATATTTAATTATAATTTCATAAAAGTATACTAGAGAAGCAGAACGTGATATGGACCTCAGTTAACGAAAACGCAAATAAATTCTCGAAGAGGTTATATGTTGCAACCTTTGGAAAATGTTAGAAATTTTTTGGAAAAATACTGGACCGATGAGGTAGAATTTACCACACGTGGGTTAGGTATATTATTATATATTTCTGGGCTACTGAGAATCTCCATCATGTTACTGAAATCAAATTTCAAGGGCGCAGTACAAGCAGTTACTAATAATTTAAATAATAATTTCCCTAAGTGTATTGGAAGGCGAGGAACAATAAGTTGGGATGCAAACAGTTCATATTTTTCGCTTTTAGGTTCTTTTTTTGGGTATATTTAAAAGAAATTTTTTATAAACAGTAATTATAGAGAACGGCATTCAAAATTTAGAAAAAAGGTATCGGCTGTGTGTTCAATATGAAATATGAATTATTGTTTGTTAAAATTAAATGTTTTTTTATCAGTTTTATATTATTATAGTTTTAATTGTCACTACAAGGCATTATACTGTTTTCATTGCCTTCTAGATTAAATAATCCCATTTCAGTATGGCTCATTCCTTACACAACACCCTATACAATCCACACATTCGTCTCTCGAAGGAAACGGTCACTGTTCGATTACATTCTTCTAATTCTGCTCCATATCAGATCCCACTCCTGAAATACTTCGCGAGCTGGATCTTGACAGTCGACTTTCATTCCAGCGGAATGTAGGACGCCGGGCCCTTCAACTCTAACCCGATAATGCCGGCGTTTTAGAATAAGCACTCGACGCGATCGTCAGCAGGAACTTTTTATTACTTCTCCCGTCAAGAACTTAATCGGACGGAGTGGCAGTTTGCCGGGGCAACTGAAAATGTCACGGAGCGATGAAACAAGTGCCGATCGCGATCGATGAAGGACTACTTTAAGGATACGCGTCGAGTAGATAATATTACAGTCCTCAAAAGTTGTACAGCAGTGTTTCAATGAGAATCCATGTATGTATTGACAGATATCAATTTTTTTATCGAACTTCTCATCGTGGGAAAATTGGAGTATATTGGATTTTATTTTAAACAACATATTCTCTGTAACTTTTATATAAATTATCCGAATAGACTGGGTGAATGTAATGAGTACAATCCTTGTGTTATCAACTTTTCAGAAGCAACAGGAAAATTTATTTCCTTAAATGGAATACCCTGTAAGTCTAGAGTACTAGAAATAAATTATTAGGGGTTGTTTGGCTTCTGGGAGAAATTTAGCTGAGCCACAACTTATTAAAAAGTGCAGCTACAAGAATAAATTATACTGTTGATCTACACCGTCAGAAAGCACCTTTTAGGTATATTATGTAAGAGATAATTAAAGGAATCTTACTGTTGATTTACATCATCAAAAACTTTTTATATATAATAAATACATTGTACTGCTAATCCACAACTTGTTGGAAGGTACAGTTACAATAATAGATCATAATGTCGATCTAGATAGCCGAAAAGTAATTATACGAAAGTGAAAGGATCATAATTGAAATGTAATGGATCATACTGCTGATCTACAGAATCGGAATATAACTGCAACTGTAGCAGATAAGTAAGAAAAAACCGTGGGTACTGTAGATTTGCATCAGAAGAAAATGTTATGTAATCTGTAACTTATTCGAAAGTATAACATGGATCATACTGTTGATCTACAAAATCAACAGCATCAACAAGTACCTAAGTTATGAATATAACAGATCGACGTTCGCAAATAAAAACATCGTAACTCGATAATGATGGTTTCTCACAAAGTAGGTTTAAAGTTCTAGAGGTTTTCTCTTAATTGCAAGACGTCTTTTCAGAGTTACCATATGAAATTTGGTTACAGTCTAAATATGAGGTACAGAAACAATTTCTTATAAACGTATAGTGAAAATTACTATTATTTTTCTTTTTAAATTAACGTTAGTAAGATACGATGGAGCTATCTGCTATTTTTTAAGTAACTAACATCTTATGTAGAGATGAGATGTAACTATCTCTATATCTAAGAAACCTAGTATATCATATCTAAAGATACAGAGTTGTATACACTCACCACCAACAGTAATAGAAAAGTAATAACATCGTATGTTAAGTTAAGATGAAAATACCACATACTTCTCAAAAAAGTATTAACATCTTATGTTCACTTGCAATAAAACGGTGTAATAATTGTTACACCTTCAATATAATCGTATATAAAAATACGATGTTCTTTAAAAAGCATGTTTGCTATAATCCAGGAGCAACTCTACATACGATTAATATGTTTATTTTACAGCTGTATAAGCGAAATTGTAACTGTTGTTACGATAATATTTAGGTTAAATTTCTATACAAAATAGATACGATAAAAATACTTTTTCAAAAACTTAATATATTTTTCAAAATAAATTGGAATACATGGTTTTAGCTGAAAAAGAAGGCACTCTTATATAGAAAAGTAATATTTACTAATTTTTACCAAAAATTGAGATACGATGTTCTTATTTGCGAACGTCGAGATGTTCAAAATAAAAAATCATACGTCTAGCTTCTCTTGCATTTCCATTCGCAAGGCCATACATGAAATGCATTTCAGCCATTTCAAGATTCGTAAAATTTGGCATTGTTATGAGATTATAATGAGTATTTAAAACAATTTTACACTTTACAGTTTACAGTTTAATTTATAGGCAGACCCAAGTTACGATTTCAAATGCGAGATTATTCAAATAAATCCAGGACCTACTGGACCATTTTAAGAATTTCAATTTCATCTAACGAATTACACAAAATCGTTTTTTATTTTTTTACTCGATAACGGTCACAGATATGAAAAAATCATAAGATACCAAAAAGTTTCTCAACAAAACATAAAATTGAATTTCGAATTTAGAATCTACCAGCGGCGCACCGCACAAAAGTTCAGGGAAAGAAAAGGGGGCATGACCCCCGAAAAAATATCACTCTGTAGAATATCACGACCATTTGGTATGCCCAATAATGTAAGCCCTAGCCTGATCTATATTCCAAATTTGAACTAAATATTTCAAAAACTGTAGGAGCTATAGAGAAAAAACTAAAAAAATCTTAAAATTTCAACACCGAAGCGTTTGCGGACCTATGTTCATATGAAATAAGCCAAAGAATTACTCCCTCCCTTATGTACATGATATTTAGGAACACCCTGTATAGTGAACTTTGAATTATTTTAGGTTACACTAATAATGGGAGTTTCTGGTGCCTGTCGATGCTACGGATTGACAAATTTGAAAATTAGTGAGGTACAGAACGTTGGCAGATACATAATTGTTTCAATACTTGACACCAAGACGGGCATTTCAAGAAAATATACAATTGTAGAAGAAGGATTTTGTGTGAATGCTGTTAAAATAGGCAGAAAATATATTTCTGCGCCCAATTCGCCTAACACAAGACAGATTCTTTTTAAAGTACATCAATCAAAAACGCTGGAGCCTTGCGCTGTGAAAATAACATCACGCTGTTGTACTATCTAGCACTTTCCGTGCACTTAACCCCCTACACTATAGGTCCCATAGCGAGCGCGCGTGATAGAAAGTTACTTTTTCCACGGTCGGGAGTAGAAATCAGTTTCTATGACATCAAAATTAAAACAGAAGTAGTCGATTATTCCCAAGGGAGTATAATGCTCCCAAGGGAGTTTACATTATGGAGAACGTTTTTCATGCAAAAAAAAAGATAACATTGAAATTATTTATTGACATTTAAATTAAATGTTACATTTGTACAATTTTCAAAATTAATATTAGAAGGAATATTACTTTCGCTTACATTTACAGTTTTTGTGATTGCGCTAGTAGTGGTACCTACTAAAACCTGATTAGCAATTTTGGTCTTATTTTCAATGGAGTTCTCGACATAACCCTCAGCGACTGTCGTTGATTTCCAACCAGCATGACGCTTTATTGTCGTGATATCCACACCAGCATCTGCCAGTAATGTCGCTGAAGATCTTCGTAAGCAGTGACCAGTATAACATGCAGCATCAGGTAATTTTAAATACGAAGCTACTACACTCGGAATTTTTCCCATGGTATTCTTGCCAACTGGCTGCGAACTACATTTTCCTGCTTTGTAGTACAAAAAAAGGCGCTTATGCTTGACGTGGGGAGGACGAAGGGACAGGTATTTTCGAAACAATTCAAGCATATTTCCCACATCGGTAACCACAAAGGTTCGTGGAATCTTTGTCTTAGTGTTTGGAATTTTTACAATCAAGGAAGAGCCTACATCCTCAATATCATCTACAGTTAAATTGACTAGTTCATCAGTTCGACAAGCTCCGGCAATCCCCAGAATTAATCCAACCTATAAAAAATCAAAATACTTAATAATTGAAATACCTAACAACAAAAGTAATCTTACCTTAATCATTAAGAATTCTTTGTCATCTGCACTTGATAGAAAACGGTCGATTTCACCCTTTGTCAATATTTTCGATT